TGTAAGACCATTGACTTTAATTTCTTCTAATTACTTCTGAAAGAAAGCGCATTAGGTGTTAATGTGCTTTGGCACTTCTCCCTAACACCTGCTAAACTTCCTTTAGGTTACCAAAGCTCATTACACTCTGAGTGAAGAAGGGAAGAAGTTGGGTGTAGGTGGTGGAGGTGGGGAATAACTGGGATGAATCTTGAAACTTCTAGATCATAGAAGTGTGAGGCCAACAGTGAAGGTGACTACCTGAGAGGCATACATGTAATCTAAATAAAGCAAATTTGGGGACTGATATTCTTATCCTCATAATATTCTGAATATTAACATATATGGTAATTCATTATTTGATTTCTTAAATCATTCAACAAATCTTGACAGAGCATCTACTATTTATCAGGCACCTACTATTTATAGGTTCATAAGAACCTATAAACAGGGACTCCTGGGAGGCTCAGTGGTTGAGCATCTGCCTTCAGCTCAGGGTATGATCTCAGGGTCCTGGGATTGAGTCCCTCATCTGGCTCCCCACAGAGAGCCTGCTTCTCCCTCTGCCTATGTCTCTGCCTCTGTGTGTCTCTCATAAATAAATAAAAACTTTATTTAAAAAAAGGACCTGTAAACAGAAATGACTGAAACAGTATCAACAAGATTATTTCAACGTGAATCAAAAAGTAAAAGCTTTTTATAAATTGGAAATTCTTTGCATTTGTATATTCTTTACCATGTGAGGTAGAACTATATCATTAAAAAGTGCTTCTACAAAATTTGCAAATATAAATTATTGCGTGAATAGGAATATCGCATAGATACAGATTCATTTTCCATTACTTTCATGCTGGAAGACTACAGAAAATACTGGCAAACCTGCACTTAATGTAATGCAAAATATATGATGACAGTTCCAAAAATGTTTTAGACAGAAATGAGAATAAATTTTAAGTTTTTAAAAACTTTGCCCAGAAGAGCAGGCCCATTAAGGCACTTTTCAAGGAGAAACTTCGCTTAAAATTAACAATGAACATTTGGAAAACAAGTTTTAAAAAATCACATTAATATTAATTGATTTATACAGCTATTGTTGAAAACAACCTGTTTCTCAGACTGTACCATTCCCAGAATGGCTTCCTTTGCAAAAGAATACAAACGAAAGTCCTGTAGCTGAGCCAACCCAACAAAAGTCAGGACAATTAGCAGTTTGAAAATGGGTGCTGGGAAAAGTAAAAGGATGAAATTAAATGAATTCTGAAACAACTTTCAGGATATTTCTGAGACACTGTTTCTCTTGTTATTCTTCTTAAAGTTTACCATTTCAAAATTTAAAATGGATTGTTTAAAAAAATAAAGTACATCTGATTTCTTGGTTGTAGAATCTAATCTCCAAATTAGATTTGCATCTAGAGAGTGCCTGGCACATGGGGATGCTGAGATCACTTCCATCAAATGGGAATCTAGAGACACAGCCTCCGTAAACACACATCATCAGTGCCATAAAAGGGAACGTGAATCTGGAGTTGGGTTGCACCTCGATAGCTGTAGGGTTTTTGAGTAATAGGAGCTACCGTGTCTTAGGTTCCTAACTTAGAAAATGTGGATAAGGGACATTTAGGTAGCTCAGTGGTTGAGCCTCTGCCTCTGGCTCAGGGCATGATCCCATGGTCCTGGGGCTGAGTCCCACATCAGGCTCCCTGCATGGAGCCTGCTTCTCCCTCTGCCTATGTCTCTGCCTCTGTCTCTCATGAATAAATAAATTTAAAAAATCTTAAAAAGAAGAAAATATGGATACGAAGGATTTCTGCTGGGTTGGTGTGTACCTATTTGGCTGTTTGTTATACCTACTACAGATATCATCTTATTAAAGTCTAATGATCATTTTTGGAGACAGAGGTTATTTTCTCCATTTTATAGTTGAGAAAACCAAGACCAAGAGGCTGAGCAATGTGCCCACAGTCAACTGGAGGCAGAATTCAAACCCAAGCTGTTTAGATTCCTAAGCTCATGTTCAGAGGAGCATGCTCTGTATGTATGCTTTACAAAGGATTTTTAAATGTACAAGAGAAACATATTTTCCCCTTAGCTGCCAACACCCAGATCTTTTAAGGTACATAAAGGTGATATTCAGTAGAAGTTAACATAGATATCCTTCTGCATAAGAGCTTCAGAAGTGTGAGTTTTCATTGATTAGAAGAACTCAGTTAAAATCAGAGCAAAAATAGCTTGCTTCCAACAGATGGCAACAGCAAATACACTTTAGATCTACAAACTCAGAATTAGCCTTTTTGACCCTAACGTATTTATAGTAAGTTGGTTTCTGTAGATAAACACATGAGAAGATCCATAATAGGAATTCACTAAAGGCAATTTCTTTGAAAAACGTCAACCTAATTTACCAAAAAACAACAAAAAACAAACAAACAAAAAAAACCCAGCTGAAACTGTTTGTGAGGAATACAATGAAGAGCCTCTATTAATGCTAATTGAATTCTCATATCCACACATACAATGCATAAAATTTACTTCTACACTTATTCTTTCCACCTCTAAACTGCAGTATGTCTATACCAAAATACTAGCTTTTAAATGAGCATTAATGCATGAAAATTGATAATTTTTCTTGCAATTATATTTACAAATTTAATACAGATGGAATCTTACTCTTTGCAAAACAGGCAAGGTCTTCATTGTTGTTTAAAAAGAGGGAAAACTGAATCTCCTGGCAAAAGTTAGGAATTTGTCTCAAAAGCTAAACTTTGTCATTTCTCAGTGTTTGCCATTAATAGCATCGTCTTAACAAACATGAATGCTAGTACATTTTGGCAAGATGGTTAATATTTTAACTCCCATAAATAAATAAATACATAAAATTAAGTGAGTGGTATACTCTTCCTTATGTCCACAATGATTGATCATATAAAATGTATACACACATAAGTTTGCTTGAAATGTCTGCTGGAAATATCGATCTGTGAAGTCTCTAAATACTTGTGAGTATGGTATCATCTTGCTCTCCCAGGATAATTTAGAAAACTAGGCTAAGAATTTGCTTCATCAAATCAAAACCTGGAATGCTGATTAAATTTAATCTACCTATTATTAGAGATAAGAATAATGCATAATGTTTTCAATAAATAAAACTTGAAATATGTTACTGTCTCTTCTTTACTCATAAACCACAAAAGATGAGTTATTATCTGGAGGCAATTAGATATTATGTCCTGTTGCAATTGTCTCTATGAATAAATAAATAAAATCTTTAAAAAAATAAAAGTCAGAGAAGGCTAAGAACCACACATAAACAGTTTTCACTAACAAAATGTAAATATTAACTTAAGAATATCAGAGCTATGAAAAAAAATACTCCCCATGGTTGATTCTTGCTTAGGTTTTCACCTGAAGGTTGTATCAAATTGAAAAGGCTTACCTATACAGTGGTGAGCCAGGTACTGTACTTGGATTGGAGACTTTTTTGAGGAATTATTAAGGAGAAGTTGCTTTTGTTACTGTTGCATACTTAGGCTTCTCCTCCCATAAGGGACAGTTCAATATAGTATCAGCATTGCTGGCCGTGGAAAGAATTGTTAACATTCTGCCTAAGGCCTCTCCGAGATCGGAGAAAATGCCAACTGATTTCTCATTCTCTCAAGGTAAGAAGGGAAAAGCTATTCACTCATTCATTCAACAGAGTTACTGAGCCTGTATTTTATATATGCCATATATTAGTGTCTGATAAGGCAGAAATAATGGCCAGATAAAAACATATACATAAATAAAGGCTGGGTAAGGTCACTGGCCATAAGGAACTTAGAATCTAGCTGTGTAAGAAGGTACATGTGTAATGAACTAAGTTAGGAAGCAAATGGCATGCAAGTAAAAGCAGTGCAGAAAACAAGTTATATTAAGATGTAAGTACTGAAAGACACAAAACATAATCTCTAAATTGCTATATTACTATCAAAATTCAGACACCTGTTGTTTGCTTTCCATTATACTTTATCATGAAGAACAGCATTATGGCTAGTTGAAATAACTGAACCTCTAAACTTAGAGATAATTCTATTTAATTGCGTAAATGAAAATTTAAAATAATAAAGCAACTTATGACTATTTCTAACAGCATTAAAAGAAAATGGTATGTCCCAGAGAGGAAAACGACAATTGTAAAGAATTGGGGAGGCACCTGGGTGGTTCAGTGGGTTAAACACTATCGTTGGCTTTGCTCATGATCCCAGCATCCTGGGATGGAGCCCCACGTCAGGCTTCCTGCTCATCGGGGAGTCTGCTTGTCCCTCTCCCTCTGCCCCTCCTCTGATTTGTGCTCCTCTCTCTCTCTCTCTCTCTCTCGTTCTTTCACAATCACTCTGTTTCTCTCTCTCTCAAATAAAATCTTGAAAAATAATTGTAAAGATTATCTCTGATTTACTCAAAGCAGTGTTTTGTATTGTTGTTTTTTGTAAAATTTACATCTATTTTTTTCTGCATTTCTCAGTTATAGACATTTTTCTGTACATATCAGTTAGGTATACTCAGACGTGGGCACACTCAAACTGACAATGTCCCCAATGGGGGTGGTCATATATGACACTCTCTGCAAAGTGAATATATTGGCATAGGGCTCCTAAAGCATTGTATCAAGATTTTTCCTATTGGAGAGCACTTCTGAGGGCATGTCACAATTAATTAAAGAGGAAGGCATTCTATTTTAGTAAAGGTTTTGTGTACTTCACTACACAATAAACTAACCAGATGATAATAAAAATGCCCTTCAAAGAAGGGCTTAAGATTGGAGACTGCTTGCACAAGAGAGAAAAAAGTTTTTATACTTTTTTTTTATAGCCAAATGCGATTAATGGCAACATTTTTCGGATGAAAACACAGTGAACAGTTTTCAGGTACACAGGCCAGAAGGAAGACAACAAAAGTAATCATACATAAAACAAACTTACCAAAAACAAACTGTAAATATGCGCCCCCCCAACACTCCCTTGAGTATCATCAAAAGTCAAACTTACCTGATCTGCTATCCAGAGGTCCAAAATCCAAAGAGTATTTCACGACATGATAGTTATTCCATACGTACAGAAGGTTGTCCCTGGGGTTGTAATCCACAGCTGCTATGTATTGGTATGAATTGGGAAAGGGTACATCCACCAAACTATCCTTACTTTGATCGGTGTTGTAAATGTAGTCAATCTTATTCCCTGTGGCCTCGTTATCATCATCCTCATATACAGATTTGACCACATACAGAATCCCGCAAATCATAAATGCGTTGGAAGCTGATCTTTTATCATATGCAGTATCCCATGTCCCTTCAATCCGTAGGGTATAAGGGTTCAATTGACTAATGACAATTTTACCATTATTTTGTTCTGTTGCATAGATTACCCATAGCCCGTTTTCATCCACTGCGAGGTCTATGTCAGACTTGCCTCCCCATCGGTAAGGGGAGGTATCATGGTAATTGGCATTTGCTATGATAGCCTCTCCACTCTTTATCCTAGTCCGCAAATCAAATTTTACTATGTTCCTGGTGCGTTCTTTGTTGAAAAACAAAGCTCCGTCATACACTACAAATCCTGTGCCATCCACCCTGTGAGGGAGCTTGTAGGTTGTAGTTGGCCTTCCAGCGATGAAGTCATCCTTGGATGAGTACTCCGTCAGGGTATCAGTTCTGTAGGGAGTCCAGGGCATATAATAAATCTTGTCAGAGGCCTGTAGAGGGTCTTTGCACCATGCCCCAGATTGGTGGTCAGATTCAAACAAATGTTCACTCTGGTACACTCCTTTTAGTAGTCCAGGACAAAGAAAAACTGTTGGGAGGGAAAGAGTTAAAATAATAAATATATTAATTTCAATATTTTGTCATATATTTTTATTTTTCACCAAATGGAATGTAACTCTAACAAGAGATACCCACCACCACTTAATTATTTTGTTGCATTCTTCTGAGTACGCGAAATGTTTTACACACTACTTTTGACTATTGTTCAAAATCATTTTCATTTTCATTTGCTGAAAAATGTGGCCACTTTCTAAGCAGTTGTGTTTTCTTTTGATTTTTACCTTTGTAAACATGTGATACAATATTTTTGTATATACAGATACAGGTGTGATGTATGTCTATGTATTCTATAGATGTATAATAAATATAAATATAGATAAGATTTCTATGTGTCTTATTTAAACTTAAATATATATATTGTTTTCACTCTGATGACATCTGCCATTCAATAACTTATCATTAAGAAATAAATAGGAATCTAATAGTAATTAAGTATAATAATAAAGGAAAAGAAAAGCCTTGTAATACAGGCCACTGAATCTTCTAGCAAAACAAAACAAAACAAAACACTCTTAAAGCTGCTTTAGCACACACAGAGCATGCAACCCACACAATTAAAAATGAATGATGGATGGAGACTGGGAGGGAAAAGAGAAAGGAAGAAAAAGAAAGGAAAGAAGGAATAAGGAAAGAAGAAAAGGTGAAAGGTTACAGAGAAGAACCCAAGATCTAGATTTTAATCAGTTAAAAATGTCCTGTTAAATACAGTAGTATTGGAACTTAAAAACATGTACCTTTTACTGTTACATGAGAAGAACATTAAAAAAACAAGATTACTTGGTATAATATTTTGCTGCTCATACTTCAGATTGAAAATGGGCAGGAATTATCTCATTCACTTGATTTTTAGTATGATTCAGTAGCAAACTGTGTAAATAGGGGTAAGAAGCCTTGGCTAGCTCATAATGAAAGGACTATAAAGCAATGTTTCCCAAAGAATGGTCCTTGAAGTACCTGTTTCATATGGTATAGCCCGATGTTATACAGAAAGAAAACAGGGATCCTTATCCATATATTTAACAAATATCATATTAAATAGAATTGTGGCAGAGATTCTAATAGCTTTGGTACATCAGTGAATCTCCAAGGCTGAAGTGAGGAAAATGAACAAATTTAACAAACTCATTTGATCATGGAACCCTTTCTACAGAGCCTGTTTCAAATGTAGTGTTCTGTTGAACCCGCTATGGGAAACACTGCTCTAATATTTTTGCAAAGCAAATACACTAAAATAATCATGCAGTCCACTGTTATGTTTGAAATGATTAGAAGGGTACTGGGTGGAGAAATTAGAAGTCATAAGGAATTTGGATGTTGAGCCATATTTTAATGATTAAAGTATTATGCTCTTGATATTAGTGATTAGCTCCTTAACAGCAACTATAATGCTAGATCAAATGGAAAATGATCTAAGATAAAACTTGGCTGGGATGTGCAGGTTATTAAAAAGGAAAGTGCATTATTAAAGTGTCCAAAGTTTTACTTTTGTAGAAATGAAAAGTTCAAGGGCAGAGTTGACTATCAAAATCTTCCATAGCAAGGATAGAAGGCCTTCATCAATTTATACTCAATAATAAAATTGATGATTATAAGAATTTCACAGATTCTAATATGATGGCTAAATTATAAAGAATGGATAGGCATTGTTGTCAAAGTCACATATAAACTTTAGATTGGTTAATAGTGAGCCCATGATTGCTAAAGTAATTTATTATAAGGTATTTCAGAAAACCAATTCCCCTTTTCCCACAATAGTTAAAAATTAAAGGTATGGGAAACCACACCAGAGCTATGGAAAATTATCTAGTATAGAAATAAAATCAAATCTAAAGCAACCACTATCCATCACCATCTACTGGATTTCCAACTACTTATTTAAAAATAAAGAGGAAGAAAATGCACGGTTGAAGATTTTACATGAAACTGTTTTAGGATAAAAGGAGCAAACCAGCACTGGTCATCACAACAGATTAAAGTGAAGTTGAGCAGCAGAAGTAGTAAATAAATTTTCGTAAAATAGATAAGAATTAATACAAAATTATTTTAACTAAATGTTAAACTGTTAAATAACTTAGCCTATAAATAGTATATAATTTATGAAAGGTATTTAATTACCTTTTTGTTCCACTTCTATTGGAGAGAGAGAAGTACAGAGAGAAAGGAGAAAAGAGAATAGATTAATGGTACGATATTGGCCAAGCACTTTTTATTCACCTCTTCCAAACTGAAAGTAAATAATTTATTTCACTCATACTTGCTTTTTGAACATAGGATTTTTTAAACATTCCCTAGTAAAATAATTTTTAAGAAAAGCAATCATATAATAAACTTAAGAATACGTACAGGCTTAGAAAACATAAAGCAAAAGTTAATCAAGCTAAGATTGCAAAAAAACATACAATTCCAAACTATAGACACATAGGAAATACAATATTCATAATAAGAATACCAATATTCCCCTTTGAAAGTCAGAAAGATAATTATCCCCACAAAGCTTTCAAATAGTTTGACTAGTCTCATTTATAAAATACTATTGTTTATACCACTATTTAACATAATAGTCTTGTTTTTTACCCATCTCAAGGATTGATCTCTTTGGAAGTAACTGCTCTGCAACTCATTTCCTAAGGCCTAAGATTTTCTGTGTTAGTCTTATGGGAAATAAACCTCTTGAGGCTACAAATTTACAGGGAATGCTCTCATACTAAATAAATGGATTCAGAATATTTATTGAAGAAACTTCTCTCCCTCCCACTTATCATTATTTGATATTGTGGAAAAATGTCTTTCAGAAAAATCTGTTAGCAGAAGGTTGACATAAATAATGAGCCACCTGTTCTGGAATTTCTGAAATCCTTAACCAAGCCAACATACGTTTATAAGCATAACTTGAAATCCTGAGCCATGTTATAGTTGTATTTTTCAAATTAGATTCCATTTTTATTTTTAAGGTACTGATCAATACAAGTCAGGGAAAATTCTGGGAAACTGTAACATATTCATGTAACTCATCAACTGTTAACATATTCATGTAACTCATCAGGTAGCGTCATGTTTATCTTATAAACATTTGTCTCATCAGAGACAATTTGCCTAAATCGCAAAAAAAAAAAAAAAAGAACAAGAACCAACAAAAAAACAGGGGGAAGAGTCGGGAAAAGATGAGTTCATAACACAGACTCAAAGATCACAGATTGCAATTGATATAAATCTTTAAAAAAATGCAATGAAATGGATGAACTGAAGTATTATTGCACAATAAATAAAACTCTAGGGAAGTTTCAAACAAGGGAGAAATATTGTTTTGGGTAGTTACATTTGGGTGAGACTTTTGTGCTTTGAACTAAGCTCCTCTGTCTTCTATTGTCAGAAACATACTCATTTCTCTCCACTGACTTTTTTGAAAGCTCCATGTCACATGTGTTAGAAGACAAAACTAGTGTATGTCAAACGTTATGTTTGGGGCACCTGGGCGGCTCAGTCACTTCAGCCTCTGACTTTTGACTTCAGCTTGGGGATCATGATCTCAGGGTCCTGATATGGAGCTCTTTTGGGCTCCATATTCAGTGGGAATTCTGCTTGAGATTCTCTCCCTCTCCCTCTACCCATTCCTTCACTTGCTCTTGCTCTCTCTCTCTCTAAAACTAATAAATCTGAAAAAAAAAAAAAAAAACGGTTATGTTTAAGAAGTTGCAAATGAGTTATTTTGGAGAGATTCCTAATCTCATTAATATACAAATCTTATTTTTATAGTAGTTCTAGGACTCTTTTAACAACTCTATACTGTGTAATTTATCATCGTTCTCAATCTTTATCGAATGACTGCAGTGTTCACTGGACTATATGCCTCATTACAGGTCAATTAAATGCTTTACTTAGGAGATGCTTCATTTTAGGACTAGAACCTCCAAATCTGAGTTCAGACTGACAACTAAAAGAAGCATAACAGAGTATCCTAAGAAATTATTTAATCAATAGTCTCAGAAGTTTGGACTCAAGGCACATTACAATGAAAGTGAAAGTTTGGAGCGGGAAGTCATACTAAGTTGACATTTTTCAGTAACCAGACTACAAAAATATAGATAGAACTAATTCTGTTTCTTGAAATACTTCTAAATATATATCCTTTTGAGAACTGTATACAGAGTATATAGTATATTCTGAAACATAAAATGTATACATACACAACTTTACTTTTATTTCATATAAAGCTCTGTCTTATTCTAAAGCACAGTTATCCTAACTTCTTGGTGACTAACATTTCTCTCTTCAACAAATACTTAATGAGGAAGGTGGGATATGTGATAAAAATTAGTGATTAAGGTATTATTTTTCTGTAAACAATATCTTACAATTTAATGGATCTTATTATTTTTCAAATAACTTTTATTTCTATTTCCTCAATTGTCATTAGGTAAAATTTTACTTTTAATTCTCTGGTCTCGGTCTAATTTGAGATAAACTGGCCTAAGCTGTAGCATAAGTAAAGCTTGCTTCTGTTACTTGCTGGTTATTCAAAATTAAGATTTATAAGGCAGTTTCACTTTGGTGAAAATTATTATGTTCTTGCCTATGTCATAACTGGCTGTAACTCATTTATCATTTATTTGGTATTTTCAAGTCTCAAGTAAAACAGTCCTATAATTTAAGTTGAAACAGGCACACACAAATCATATTCCCATAACAAAAACTGGCAAAGCAAACATAATTTGTCATTGAAAAGCTTAGTAACACTGAGGATTAGCCAGGCAGTGTCATCATCTAATTCTGATTCTAGAGGCTTCTTTCCCCTGGAAAAACAAAAATAAAAACAAAACAAGCACTCATACAAACATATTGTATAGATACAGGTTAACACCCTTGCCACTATATCCTTCATAATCTCACAGTGCCTGGAACATAATAAGCACTCAGTGAACAGCTACTGAATTAATACATAATCCAAATCCAAATAATCTTGCTTCTTAA